TTAATTTATAAATTTTGCTTAGATTGAGCTCAGTTTCCACCTCCTTAGCTCACTAAATAACAAATGCACTAGCATGCACACACACAGTGATGTACACACGTGTATAGAAGTGCATGCACCATGCATGCTTTCTGCATGTGCACAAAGATACGCCAATATCCACGCGCAGTATCTGTATGTTCACACCCTCCTGCTGTGGAAGAACTGTATCGGGGATGGTTATGCTGACTTCATAGGATTTTTGCACACAATAGGTTAATACTTTCCTGCAAAGCATCCAGCCCATTACCCATAGGAAATGCTCCAGGTATGGTTGGCATCACCATCGTCCTCATCACATCATTCCCTCCCTCCACTCAATATGAAGTCTCCACTTTCTCCACAGACTACTAAGTAATCTTGCCAGTTTGGGAGGCCAGACAGGGTCTGCTCAGAAGACAGCTGTGAGTGTCTGGAGAGGAACAGCTGTGGCTGGGGAAGTCTAGTTCCCAGCAGTCAGGAATTAGGGACTTTGTTTTTGAGCAAAAGCTCCAGGCAGATTATGAACTTATAGACCGTGCGACTGGTTGAGTTTTCCTTAATGGCAACTTCCATTTGGCCAATTGGCTATGGTCCTTCCATCAGCAGGAGGGTGTGAACATGTAGGTTTCGTGCACATGTGCGAAGATATGTGTATTTGCATATCTTTGTGCAGAAAGCATGTATGGGTGCATGGACTTACATACATGTGTGCACATAACTGTGAGTGTGTGTGCTTGTGCATTTGCTCTTTCACTTGTTACCGTGTGTGCTTGTGTGCAAGAAGCACTTCTTGTTCTGTGCAACACACAGAACACAAACACAGAAGGAGCATGGGAGTCCTGCACCTGGTTGAGAAAACGCCTGAAAGACTGCCCTGGGGTCAAGTCTCCAGTGCTCTGGCCTCATCCTGCTGGATGTCTGCAGAAGCCCAGTTTCTCCGAGCCCACCCCTGCACACCCACCTCCACCCACTGCAGGGCTTTCCCTCACGTCCTTTCTCTTGCTTGGGTTGCTGTTTCTGCCCTCAGTCTCCTGGAATCTGCCTTTTCCATCCAAAGCCGGATTGAATTCTATCTCCCGAAGAAGTCATTCCCCATCTCCTTTATTCTTTCTGTTGGCTCCACACAGCCAACACTTTGCTGTCCACACTGGTCACGCTGGTTGGTGGTGTTTCGTGGGTGTTTTATCTCCTGAGCAGTGTTGTAGATGGCAGAAGGACAGGGCCCTTGCCTGTCTTCCACTAGGCCGCCCCCACCCTAGCCCCCACCCAGGGATCTGGTGCAGGGCTGAGTCCGCAGGTCACATTTTCCGATTTGTGGTTGACCAATGGGTCCCTAACTGAGCTGGATTTTTCATATGTATTCTACTTCTGGGGAAGTCAGATGACTTTGAAAATTGACTCCTCCGCTGGGGGTGGTGGCTTAGGCCTGTAATCTCAGCACTCTGGAAGGCCAAGGTGGGAGGATCACTTGAGTCCAGGAGTTTGAGACCACCCTGGGCAGTCATCTTTACAAAAAAAATTAAAAAAACTAGCCAGGTGCAGTGGCACATGCCTATAGTCCCAGCTACTTGGGGGTAGAGGCAGAAGGACCCCGTGAGCCTAGGAATTTGATGCTGCAGTGAGTCGTGATCCTGCCACTGCACTCCAGCCTGGGTGACCGAGGGAGACCCTGTTTCAAAAGGAAATAACAAGAATGGTAAAAATAAAAAATAAAAATTAAAAATTGAAGTCAGCTCTTCTGGGCTGGAGATGGATTTAATAATTAAAGCATTGAATGCATTGTTTAAAGGCTGAACCCGTCCTCTCCTTCCGAGTTTTACAACCTCTAAGCAAAGACAAGATATCAACTCTCTGTTAAAGTTCACTCCTGCGCTGCAGGAAGTCCCTATCTGGAATGTGCTTGTTTAAATTAAGTATCGATTTTTATCTTTTATGAACTTTTCCCACACCTGCAGGCTCATATTCACATGTAAAGAAACCGAGATCAGGTTTCAAAGCCTCCCAGGAGCTGTGCCTGCCTGTAACTAGAATCTGGGACATTTGTTTCCAGCAGTCCTGTAAGGCCCGAGGGACAGGGAGCTGTTAAGTAGTTTCAGAAATGAAGTAAATGTCATGAATTTGTAGACACAACGAAGCAGAAAGCGAAATGTTGAGCACTTAGCAAGAGTGGGGGTAGACAACCTGCCTACATAATTCTGCTTCCTGAGACCTAAATTGAACACTTGGAACAATCGCTAAACATTCTGCTTTGTTTGACTTGGTTCCTTCTGTTGATTCTTATCACTTCAATAAAACCACGGTTCATTTGTCAGTGAAAATAATTTACATCTAGTTAGCTGAAACATGTGTGTACTTTCCAGAAAAAGTGACCATCAACTAGTTAAAAAAAACCAAAACAAACACCTTCTTTTTTAAAGTTTAAGAAGCTACCTCCAGAGTATCTTCAGTCTGGCTGACATAGCCTATTTTCCAGTGCTTTAAAAAAGTGTACAGATAAATCATTTAGAGGCAAAAGGTGAAATAGTGCATGAACTTGTACTTGAACCCATTTGTGGTTCTATAGGTTGTAAGGGACCTGGTTCAGAAACTGTGCATCTCCACGTATTCAGAGGCATCTTGAAGCAAGAAAGTTTGGGTTCAAAGCTTTCTACTACAGAGCCCTCCCTGTCTCTGAGAAGGAACACTCACTTTTCTAATTCATCTTCTTGGGATGGGTCATTCTGATGCTGCAAAAGACTCATTTTATATATTTTTTAAAGACGTGGGTCTTGAATTGCTTACATGTTTATCATTTCTATGTCTTGATCTTTGCATTGGTACAAAAGTAGGGATCAGTTTCTTAGCTGACTCACACCAGAGTGCAGTGCCTGGGGAAATCATAAACTCAGGGTACATGGTCGGAACACCCTGCTTCCTCCTACATCAATAGGCCTGCCCCACGGACATTCATCTTCAGTAGGATGATGACAGGACACTGCAAAATCCTGAATCATCAAAGAATTGATGCTGTTCATTCTAGTCTGGATTCCCTTAGAGGTGGGGAGTGGACGAGGGTGTCTTAGAAAGATCTTCCTAGGAGCAAAAATGCAAAATGGTTTCTGGTCAACCTTTGTTGATGAGAAGCTGAAGTTGATCATAATGGGTCATTCCCAAAGCATCCTGATTCCTTGAGATTTTATTATATTAACCTTAAGGGTTAGAGTGGAGTGTCTTTATGGAAAAGAGTATTTACTGAGTGCTTTGTTAGCGTCACATGTAATAAAATTCACTCAGCTGCACCACTGGGAATGTCCCTGGGCCAAGTCTGTGTATCTTCTCTCTTCACCCTGAATTTTGGGTGATAGCTTTGGTTAACTCATTCATTCAACAAAGATACACTGAGTATCTGCTGTGTGCCAGGCACTGTTCAAGGAATTGAGGACATCTCTGGCTTCATGTGGCTGATGTATAGGAGGAATACCTGGCCAGTAAGCAAATAGGTAGTTAAAAAGGGCAGTTTGCCAAATGACAGTCATGCTTTGATGATCAACAGAGTGGGGGGGGGGAGGGGAAAGAGAGGCGCAGAGGCCAGAGAAGGTGCTGAGAATTGAGGAGGCAGAGGAGTGTGGGGTGGATGTCTGGGGGAAGAACATTCCAGGCAGATGGGCAGGTTCAGAGCCTCGAGGCAGGAGCCTGCCTTACCTGTCTGAGGAATAGCAAGGGGGCCAGTGTGGCTGGATGTGAGCAGTCAGAGTCATGGGCCCACAGGTCAGCAGGAACAGAGGTAACTAGACAACAGAGGGTCTCACACACCAACAAAGAGACTTCAGCTTTTATTCCAAGAACCGCAGAAAGCCAGCTGAGATTTAACACATGTACATAAAGAGCTTAAAAAAATGCTTTTTGAAAACAAACAAACAAAACTTACATTACAATCCAGCCTCGCTAACGTAATTTTTGTATAACCAAATTCATTTTTTTTGGAATCTCAGTATTGATGACCCAAGCTCCGTTTTAAGTCATTGGCTTTATTTAAAGGCAGTGGGGGGAATGACAGGGCACGAGCTAATAACAACGTTGAAATCACTTTCTGGTTCTAGTTCCTTGGCCAATAACCACATACGGGCACTACCGAGGGATGTCTTCAGTGATTTAGACTCTCTCATTGAACTGTAAGTAATGAAGTTAAGTTCATAGGTGCTTGTCCTTGTCCCCCAGTTAATCGCATCTTATAATCCCCTCTACCCTTCACTGCATTTTTTTTATGCTATAGCTAAGAATCCATAACAAAGTGGTGCATCCTGGGAAATAGCGTATAATTTGTATTATGTTGGATTTTGCCATTTTATGTACTTGGTATGTAAATACAGTAAATGAATCTTGCTGAATGGGAGGTTCCTTTTCCTGAGATAATGTGGCCACCTGCTTTATCTTCCAGTGTTTGTTACTTCTTCCTGGGCAAAGTTTAACAAGATCGCAAAGTTTCAATTGTATTTGTGAGACTGTCTCCCTACAATGTCTTTTTTTTTTTTTTAATACCAACCTATATTGGGGTTGTCTTCTATCATTCTTCATTTCCAGCAGGGCCTGGTGATAGATGGTGAAGGCTTGGAGAGATGGTGGCGGGTCATCTCTGAGAGATCTCTGTATTTTATGTAGTTAAAACTATGAACACTGAGGAACATCAAATTAAGTAAATGATAAGTACTATAAGAAGTAAAGATGCATTATATGCTGGGCGCCTATAATCCTAGCACTCTGGGAGGCAGAAAGATTGAGCTCAGGAGTTTGAGACCAGCCTGAGCAAGAGTGAGACCCCCATCTCTACTAAAAATAGAAAAATTAGCCAGGTATTGTGGCAGGTGCCAGGTATTGAGGCAGGTGCCAGGTATTGAGGCAGAGCCCCGAAACTCTTGGGCTCAAGTGATCCTCCTGTCTCAACCTTCTTGGAAGGTCTTTATGGAAAGGAATATTTACTGAGTGCTTTCTTAGCATCACATGTAACAGAATTCACTCAGCTGCACCACTGGGAATGTCCTTCTTAGAAGGTTGAGACAGGAGGATCATTTGAGCCCAAGAGTTTGAGGTTGCTATGAGCTGTGATGATAGCATGGAACTCTACCAGGGGTGACAGAGTAAGACTCTGTCAAAAAAACAAAAAAAGAAAGAAAAAAGATGCATTAAATACAAACTCTTAATTCTATTTTAGGGGTTTTTAATTATATTGGGGTGTTAATAACTCGGTAGTTTCATATTTCCTCTAAAATCTATTTGATGCGTCTATTTCTCTGTGTTATGTGTTTGTGTTTCGTTTTGATTTTTAGAGATTTAAGGGGTAATAAATTTGAATGCGACTGCAAAGCCAAGTGGCTCTATCTGTGGTTGAAGATGACGAATTCCACTGTGTCCGACGTGCTGTGTATTGGTCCACCAGAATACCAAGAGAAGAAGCTCAATGATGTGACCAGCTTTGACTACGAATGTACAACTACAGGTATTCAGAACCCATGTCCCCAAAGATGGGTATTTAGAATAATCCCTGTGTTCCTTTTAGAATGTCAACAAGGATTGGGGGAAAGGGAACCTCACAGTTTTCTCTCGAGGCTATTCTAGAGGACGTTTAAGCATCCTAAAGACATTAATTGATGTGGTAAGGAAGATAATCTCAAAAGTTTGGAAGGAATTTTGTTAACTGTACTGGCTTTAATTTTGATTCCTTACAAAATTCTAATTTTTCTAAGATTCCCCCCCCCCATTTTTTTTAAAGGTCAAAATATAAAGTTGTGAGTTGGTCATGAGAACCTTGTCACATCAGTCTGAGTTTCATGGAAAACCAGTGGCCTCAATTATTCTGTTGTCACTGATCTCTCACTTCAGTAAGGTGACGTTGATTGAAAACTTCATGAATAAGTACCACGCTCTTAAATCTATAAATTAGTTTCATCGGTTCATGCAAAAAGACAACTAGGTAAATTGTAACCAGGGGCAAAATAGAAAATCTAAGTCAACAACTAGGTGTCAAGTGCAAAAACTCACACCGAGGCAAAAGTGTTAAGAAAGTTTGATTGTATTTTCTAGGACCTGCCTCCAAGGTTCTGTTTATGCACTTTTTTAAGGTGATAAGATAAAATTAAAATACTAACCACCGCAACTCTCACATTCTGTAGAGAGCAGGTGAGTGTCTCCTATGGAAAGTTTAGGTAGTGTGTCTACATTTTCTAAAGCCGGATTTTAAAGGAGAGAAGATCAATCCACAGTATGAAACCTGCTTAAGAGATTTTTTAAAAATAAACATATAGCCTGAGAGTTGATATTGACAAAGTCTCAGGTTATGTCTGGAGAAGAAGCAGGAATGAGAACTTGGAACATTCTGAGTTATAGAAACTCAAAAGACAACAAAACTCTAAGAAAAAGAATCTCACATTTAGGCCAATTCTTGCATTCGTACCTTGCCCACCTTTCCTCAAACCCACAAGGTACGAATGATTTCTAGATAAACTGTGTTTGCATATAGGGGACCCTCCAGGTTCTTTTCTCTTCTGACGGAAAACCTGAGATCTCATGGAAATGCCCTTGTCTTTCATCTCTGGGTAGGGGCTTATTCAGCTGTGTAATTGGCAGGTGGCCCTTCATCAGATGAGGCCACTAGGAGGTTATTTATTGTATTTGGGGGCCAGTGCAATAAATCAGAGGTCACAGTCAATGTCGAGCACCAAAAGGTGGCATTCAAGGACAGTCGGTATTAAATACCAGCCCAAAGCTTACTGGGTCTTTAAACCCCAGGTGAAGTTAGTCGCTTTTCCATTGTTCTATTCATACCTGTCCATAGCATGTGAAAACATGGTCTATTTTGGGGAGAGGTAACATGGGCTACAAAGGGCTGTGGGAATAATTTATAGGAGAAAATGTGTTTTCTGAATTTTGGGGCCTTGTGGATAGTCATAAAAATGATCCATTTGCTTGAGCTCAAGAGTTTGAGGCTGCAGTGAGCTCCAGTCTGGGTGGCAGATGGAAACCCTGTAAAAACCCTATCTCTTAGAGAGAGAGAAGATCTGGGCTCTGAGAATTGTTACGGCATCGGAATAGAGGTGGCTTGGAACTGAGGTAGCCAGGTCCCAAACCCAAGGGACAGAATGAGCCTCCCCAGATATTTCAGGGCCTTCTCTGTCTTCTGTGTATTTGTCCTCACTGCCAGGCTTTCTATTAAACTTTAGAAAGTCCACCCAAGCCTTTTTGGTAAGAAGGAGACGATGACTCCTTTGCTGTGACCTTATCCCTTTAGGGTTCATGAGCAAAGTCTTGCTCTTGCTCTTGCTCTTGTTTCATCCATCAGGAAAAAAAATGGTGCAACCCATGTGTGGCCCACCCCCAAATCCAGTCCCTGCTGTGGAAGAACTAGGTCAGTAACTTGGGAGGGTTTGGGTTCCCATCTCCCCCTGGGATGAGGCCCCGGCCTCAGGTGCTTCATTAAAGGCTGAGAAGGAAATGAGTGAGGGTAGGTGGAGAAGGAGAAGACATTCAATTTGGGAGTTCAGGGTACGGGCATCATATCCTTACTGAAGGTTTGGAAAGAAGCTTGTTTTCCAAGTACATTGTTTTCTTTTTAGCTCAGATTTTCAGGAAAGGAGTAAATGTCCCCCTCGCCCCCCAGATTGATGTCTCGCCCTGTTTTTCCCAGAGTAAGGAAGATACTGTTACCATTCTGTCCCTCAGCCAAGGGGTGTAATTAATACCACAAAACCACCTCGGGCTATTTCAGCTCTTTAGAGTAATCACAGTCCTTCCCTAACCCTCCCCTTCAAGTCTATTTTTAACCACCTCAAAAATCCCTGTTACCTACCAACGATTCCCTGTGTTAGGTGGATCATTCACTCCATTCCTTAGAGGGAGTGAATTTTGCATCCTAATTGTCCTGTTAGCTTCCCTATTTCAGAGCTGATGAAAACGCAAAGAGAAATAAGGCATTAAATGTGGAGTTTCTCTCCCCGCAGGATCCGCATCATGTATAATTTATTTTCTGCAAGTGCTATAAATAGCTATGCAAAAAAATCTGTTGATTCCAGTGGGAAAAAGGCCTAAATTGCAGGAGTCCCACTGACATCATGAACTTCATCCGGTCTGAATGGAGGTGGCAGCTCTCTTTGCAGCGTGCCATTAATATTTTAACACTCGTAAATTGATGTCATATCAATATGTGTCTTTTCGAGATACTTCCACAATGAATGTGCTTTTGCTGTTGGTGAGAGCTCCGTTAAGCGGAGGGTGGGACAAGCTATTTAAATTCCTCCAGTCCTGTCCTTCTGGACCCACAAACCCATCTGCGTTGTTTTCTTATCACTCTTTTCTCCTTTTTCTTCTCCTCCTCCTTTATTTGGGGGGAGGGGAGGTGGATGGGGTGGGGTCTTCTATTAAAAATTAGATTTGTAGTTCACATAATTTCATAATGTATGTTATGACCAATAGGTAACGTATGGAAAATATTATGAAACCACTCTTGGGGGGGAAATAAATGACCAGAGGACCACTACAGGCTAGATTCGTGAACTAGTCTCCATTCCAGCAGCCCCTTTTATCATCTTGGGATGCTTCTCTAAAAATGGAAACTTCTGGGTCTGCACTTGACACGGCCTGCCTTTTGAAGCGAGTGCTCGTGTTTCTGAGGAGACAAGTGAGTTACGGGCATCACGGGAGTATTTAGAAGCTTTGGCAGACTCGGATTAGTCAAATGCAACCGGAGATGTCAGTGAGGAGTTTATAGCCATCTCAGTTGTAATTAAAAGATGGCAGCAGTTGGCGGGTGCTCCCTTTTCTGGGGATATGAAAGGGCTCAGAGAATACTGTATTTTGCAGAGCTGCTGTTTCTCCTTTCCCTGCCGTCTGCGCGCGAATACAGAAAGCAGCAAAGCCCCATGCCGTCGCCACGCGCTTTCTGGCGTCTGTCCCATGGGCATGAACAGAGGTTCACATTTTTCCTGCTTTTTATCTTTGAGTAACCCTGATTTGGAGGGAGAGGGTCAAGAAGTGGGTCAAGGAGCCATCGTGACTCTTACCCAAGTCTTCCAGCGGGCAAGTTAACCCTGTCATTGTCTCAGGTGTAAGCCACTCAGCAATCAGCACAGAGGGGGCTGCACTGTGTCCTTACAGGCACCCCTGAATTTAGTCTCCACTACATGAAAGAGATGTCACCCTTACTTTACTGATGAAGAGCCTGATGCCCAGTTTTCTTGGTTGCTACTATGAAAGTGGCAGGGAAAGAATGCGAAGCCCCATCTGTCTGAGCTCCCAGCCCCAGCCCTGTACCAGGGTGTCTGCGGTCTCCCTGCCCGTGAGAACCACCTGTCCACACACTTCCCTCAGTCATCTGCAGAGGCCAGCCCACTCCTACTTGTTAAGCTAACAAGCATTTATTAAGCAACAACTGTGCGTCTAGAATGGGGGACGGAGCGCCTCCAGAAGTTACATGCGTTTATTGAGCGCTCACTATATCGGACTAAGTGAGTATGAGATAGAACAAGGCGGAGAGAGTTCAGTCCTTTACCCAAAGTCATTTAGCAAGAAGGTGTAGCCTCAGCTCCAGCATCTTATCTTAGATGTTCTTCAAATAGACAGTCCCCCAAAAGACAGACCTGGCATTGGCTAGGACAGAGAAGGTGGACTGTCCTTTCTCAGACCTCAGTTCTGTATTTATCAATGTGCTACGCCCTGAGGTGGACATTTCCACCGGCACTAACTGATCTGTCTCTGCCAACCAGCTTGGGAGGTATCATAGTCCCCTTGGTATCCATAAGTAAGCTGAGCCCTGAGAGGTGATAGCCCAGGATCTCAAGTGTGGGAAGTGGCCTTAGGTGGTGAGCTGTCAGGCACAGTATCCGTTCCAGGGCCCCACCCTGCTCCTGTGGCCCCATGACTGTGACCTGTCCTTCCCGTCGCTGCTCCACTTCCTGAGGGCTCGAGCTGTGGGCTCGAAACACTCAGGGAAGCATCAGCCCCCACCCCAGGGAGGCCTTGGTCCAGGAGATGCCATGCTGGCTGTGTGGCCATGGCTAGACGCTCACCCTCTCTG